TATTTGGATCTTTTTCGTATCAAGTGCACTGAGCAACACGTGCTAACAATATTACCAGTTTTCGATGTAGCCTATAGCCTATTTGTTTGTTTTTTATCCACACAAATTATAGCCTATAGGCATTAGTTTTGTTTATGTGACCATCTGACATGCAAAACCGACGTTTAATCTAGGCTATTTGTTTATATCAGTTTCTACTTTTTGACACAAAACATTACATGCATTATATTTTCATATTTGATTTCATTTTATCACTAGTAGGTAGTAGCCTACTTGCACCATAACATTTATGCAAAATAGTTTTACGATCGTTTTTTAACGATTTGTTTCCTTTTGAGGTGTTGCAATGGCATTCTGAGGTGCTGTTTTAGCAAATTATGCCATTTAGCGGTAGAATATTAAAAGAACCGATAACTGATAAGAAAAGTATAAATAATGATGACAGACAGACAGACAAACAAATAAATAGGCGTACGGTTAATTCAGCCAACAGAAATCTATCTCATTTGAATAGCAGCTTTAAAATGTATGTAAAACTAAAGTGACGATCTGTCAAATATAATTACAGATGAATAAAATCGAATTTTGAAGTATTAATTATTCAAATGAATTATTCATTCTGAAACTCATAAAATCAAGTAAAATGCTATGGATGGAAAGCTACTGCAATTCATTTTCACTGCCCAAAACAAAACTGCCTCTCTGCTGAATCGCTGTTGTATTGTATCCTAGAACCTGTGACTTGTTCAGTGTTACTTATCATTTGCAGTGTGTGCATTCTTTGTATTTACTTATTGATCTATTTTTCTTGTTGTCTATTTCTGTTTGTTTATAAAGTAGGCCTATTATCTGACCTGTCTGCACTGCAGAACTTGTGACAAGACATTTTGCTCCCCGGTAAACGTATATGTGAACTAGGAGCTAAACTAAACTAAAAGTCATTCATATAGGCTACAATACGCAGGGCAGCAGCAGGCAAGCGTGCGCTTCTTCTTGAACAACGTTCATGTGTTCGCCCATCCTCCCACTCAGAATCAGTTCAACAGTTCACCGTGCAGCCTAGTTCACTTTAATTAAGCCCACATTCATCATTTTCCCCGACACTCTTAATGAGAAGGCTTTGCTGACTGTTGCTGCAGATAGCCTAGAGCACTACTGGAAAATAGACTTATTTCGTTTGTTTGTCTATACACGTCTGAGTTTGTGCTTATAATTAGTCCCATAACTGACCATGATGGAGAGGTTGTCGTCAAGGCTCATTGAAAGGGATACGCAATTACATAGTGGGCCAACAAATTATGCATAATGCACATAATACATTTCTTCAATAGACAAGCTGCTAGTGTTTTTTTCCTTTTTTCATGTATAGCTGCAACGTAGGCATGATGGCACGACAAGAAGACTTGAATATAGTAGGCTACTGCTAAATGTATGAATAAACCAGAATATTTGAGGCATTAGCAGTTTACAAGATTAAAGAATTATCGTGCTGGTGGTCAGCTATGCACAGCAGGTGAAAAAACCCTTTAACTGACCCTAGAACTTGCTTCTTATCTTAATTAATATTACTATTAACAGTAGTAGAACTAGGATTAATGTCACGAAATTGAGTTAACTCCCCCACTTTTTGGGCTATTCTCGAAGATCAATTCTTGTATTGGAGCTAATCACCTCTATTCCTCTCTTTAAGATCTGGCAACGAAAAGTGCATTAGCATTTTGCCATGGCGTGTATATCTAAGTGGCTTAAAAAGTGATTTGAAGTTGATTTGTATATAAAAGGCGTCCCTTTAACCGGATTGCCGCTAATCTGCGCCACATCGCATGAGTGTTTCAGGAAAACCTGTTTAAGATCCTTCAAGAGTATAAGAGCAGGCTAAGCCCAGAAAAGCAGCCCTCATTAAATACCACTAACAAAAGCGCACTTCCTTCAGTTAGCCATTTACTTCAATCCCTCAGAGAAAAAAGTGCTCTCTCTCTCTCCTTCTCTCCGATTCTTTCATGGTGACATCAAACACCTTTATGTGCTCAAAATACGCTGATTTAATATTTGCCAATTGCTCCTAATTCTTTGCGCAGACGATGCCATAAATGTATGGAGTCAAAACTGACAGCAAAATACCATTTGATTCGTGCCTTTACTGACCATATGCGATCAAGGGAGGTCTGCAGTCCAGATGGTGAACAGTTTTATCTAGACTCTTTGGTGTCACAATTTAAACTCAGACGTGTTGAGTTATTTATCTGTAACGATTTCTTGTTTTACTTCTCTCCGATTCTTTCATGGTGACATCAAACACCTTTATGTGCTCAAAATACGCTGATTTAATATTTGCCAATTGCTCCTAATTCTTTGCGCAGACGATGCCATAAATGTATGGAGTCAAAACTGACAGCAAAATACTATTTGATTCGTGCCTTTACTGACCATATGCGATCAAGGGAGGTCTGCAGTCCAGATGGTGAACAGTTTTATCTAGACTCTTTGGTGTCACAATTTAAACTCAGACGTGTTGAGTTATTTATCTGTAACGATTTCTTGTTTTATTCGTTCTCTAAAATGTAAAAAATGGTAAGAATAGCCTATTAGAGATTATGGAACGACTTGCAACATCAGTGAAACTTCTTAGAAATGAGTTACCGGGGTTAAATTACCATTAGAAGTTCTAAGACTGTAAAAAAAAATTCAGATTTATGCGATTAATTTTAAGGTTAAAAGATTTGTAACGCTGTCTTTTGTTGACATGTTCGTTGACATGTTCCTATAAAACGTTTGCTATTAACCTTTTTTAATTAAATGTCGATGTTGAAATGCGATGATATGATGGAATAATTATTGTGAACAAATTAATTAGATTACCATAATGAACTCCCATCCAAAATGTTAAATCCCCACGTTTTCTATTGCTGTTACAACCGTAACGTTACAACCCAACACATTTAAACGGGTTGGGGATGAATTATGGATTTTAACTTGTGGCAGACAATTATGTAAATATATCGAAATATGAGAGACACCCAACACCCAAAAGACGTTGAGTTACAGACTTTGAAATCAAAATGTGTTACTACACTGGTCAAGCTCCATTTAAAACTAGAAACTGAAGCAGCATTTCAGATTTATGCGATTAATTTTAAGGTTAAAAGATTTGTAACGCTGTCTTTTGTTGACATGTTCCTATAAAACGTTTGCTATTAACCTTTTTTAATTAAATGTCGATGTTGAAATGCGATGATATGATGGAATAATTATTGTGAACAAATTAATTAGATTACCATAATGAACTCCCATCCAAAATGTTAAATCCCCACGTTTTCTATTGCTGTTACAACCGTAACGTTACAACCCAACACATTTAAACGGGTTGGGGATGAATTATGGATTTTAACTTGTGGCAGACAATTATGTAAATATATCGAAATATGAGAGACACCCAACACCCAAAAGACGTTGAGTTACAGACTTTGAAATCAAAATGTGTTACTACACTGGTCAAGCTCCATTTAAAACTAGAAACTGAAGCAGCATTAAGCGCTGTCTCGTGTCTTTAATATTCTCCTTTTCATTTAACCCAGATTTTTCACCATAATTATAGCATGACGTTTCCACTTGATGTGCTTTATTTAGGCTAAACAGTACAGACGGGTGAGTGCAGAGCGCAAGCATGGACATCTATAAAAAAAATTACGCGCAAGAGGGAGGAGACGCAGTTAAGGGAGTAATGCATGCAAGCACCCCGAGTAAAAAGGCCAGTTTAGATGTTTTATATTCCCCTCTTACTGTTACCGTGTCGCGACACCATCCACGCAGAGGGAGCTGAAGACACAAGTGGCGCGCGCGCACACACCCACTGCAATGAGAAGGAATAAAGCTGCTCTGCATCTACGGAAGACTCCTGAAGGAACTGCATTTGATATGAATTCGCTTGAATGTATCTGAGGAATCTCTGGACGAGGATTACAAAATGATATGTAATTTAAAGTGCCTATAACGGACCCTTTCTTCATCTCCTCTCCTTTATGTCGGGGTTTGCCTCCTGTATTCATTGTGCCCAATGAGAAGAATTAAGCTATCCGTCCATTCAGTTCCACTCAAAAGGAGGGAGGGGAAAAACAGAGGGAGATGAGAGCAGCAAATCCCTTTTTTATTCATCTTGTAGCGTTCAATAAGTGAACAATGTGTCGCCTATCAGTCACCGAGGGGATCAGGTCTACGGGACTGTCCCACACGCTCAGTGCTGCGAGCAGAGCATCACTAACACACAGACTGTAAGAGCAGCAGCAGCAGCGGCGGCGGCACTGGCACTGGCATCCCACCCAGGACCCTTTCTGTGATTTCTACGCTGATTTTATGAATACACTTTGACCCACGCTGTCAGTCGCACTGGAATGTGGAGTGGTAAGTGGATGCTTCTTGCAACAAACTCGCAATTCCTTCAATTTTATCATGTTTAAATAAAGGTGCAGCCTTAAGGAGCATCTTATAAAAACATATAGGCACTGTATGGTTCGTGAGTTGCTGTATGATTCTTTGGAGACTTCTTTGGAAAAGCGTGTTCATGTTCTTTAAAGCATGAGACGGTTTTCGAAAAAGCTAGAAAATAAAAAGCTATTTAAAAGGTCATTTTATTTTGATTCTCATCATCACCTTTGTTTTTATTTATTTATATAGATTTGTTTTGAATGTAGGCTGATATATTTTTGTGCAGACTGATATGTTGTTTTTGTTGAGAAGATTACAGAATCGTTTACTAACCGTATTTTGATACTAATTTAAAACATACACATCCCACAAAATTAAAAATGTCCTTGCATTAAAAGCTAAAACATAAATATCAATCCTAATTTCTGTGTACTACCCTAAGGATTTTCCTATTGCTTTTAATTTAGTAATTGTCAAGATGCTCACTAGCTCCTCTAATATAGAAAGTTCCTGACATCGTTTATTTTTGCAGGAATTTGATTTGAGCTTAATTGGTTAACTTTGCCCTTCCAGATATAATGCGGGTACTCGCGTTGCTTCTCGCAGTCAAAGCGGCATGTGTCCTCCTGGTCTCCTCTCTCACTGGCACAGTGGCGGTGAACAACAGCGGCCGGTGGTGGTAAGATACAGCAGACCCATAATATATATTAGGCTATGAGGTATTTAGTAGGCTACATATGTAGTACGTTCATATAGAATGCCAACAACTGAAGCTTTTTCTTTTGTAAGCTGGTGCACAATATCTGTGATCAATAACTAGTTCAAAGTCTCCTAGATCTTTAGTGCATACAGCAGTAAATTAAACGATCAAACCTGTTAGACAAGCTACAGATGTCATTTAGTGGTTGGAGTGAATCTGTCATTTACTTTGTTAGTTGCACTGCATACGCGGAGCTGTTGCCTACCTTTATTTTAGAAAAAGAAAAAAATATTATATTAAGCCTACTGATATAATAAAGTAGAGCGAAGTTATGTTTCAAGTAGAGAAGTCAAACTCTGTTCCCAAATAAATAAATGCAATCTCATTTAGCCTGTTTACGCCCGCGCGCTCTCTCTCCCTCTCGGCTTCTCTCTGTCATTTTGACAGTGTGGCTTGAACACGGGACAAGATTTTTCAATCCAATGTGGGATAAATTAAATGCGGATTTATTTTATGGCTGGGAGCAGTTCCTTTCCAGGTCGTTTTCAGGGTCGAATTCTTGTAATGTGCTGAGCATTCCGGAGTAGGTAAAAGACACGACGTGTCATAACGTTGAAAGGAGAATTAAAAATGATATACTCTAATATAAAGTATATCGGTCATGATAACGGCGAAAAGTAGAATTAAAAATGATACATCTAATACTCTACGAAGAAAGGTTTTGTTATTTCTTTAATATATTATATTATAAAAATATGCCTGATTTTATATCATAGCCTATACATTAAATGTAGCCTATGTGTTATTCAGAGGAATTATAAAATTCCGTATCTGATTGGTTCTTTGAAAAGTTTTGTGTTAAGCAATTTTTCAGATTAGATTTCAGTTTCACTGGACATGACTTGGACCTGTTGCAGCATACTGCCATTTGCATTGAGAAATAGGCATACATTGGCTTATGTGCAATATTACGTCATTAACATTTTATATTCATTTTGCTGTGATAACTCCTTCCATGCATTCTAATGAAACAGTTATTTTTTTTAGTAAAAATGTCTGTGGTTCTCATCTCACAAACTAAAAAATCTATGAGAAAATGACAAGAAAACAGCCTAAAGTCCCAAAATCTTGAATGATTTGCATCTCATGCCAGTCAGATGAGAAAACTCTTTTTTCCAAGTTACCGAAGTCAACCTTTCTGTTTCTCCACCAGGGGTATTGTGAATGTGGCATCCTCAGGCAATCTCCTCACCAACTCCAAGAATGTGCAGTTGGTGTTGGACCCCAGCCTGGCGTTGCTAAATCGTCGTCAGAGAAAACTAATCCGGCAAAACCCGGGCATCTTGCACGCCATTGCAGCAGGCCTGCATACAGCCATCAAGGAATGCAAATGGCAGTTTCGTAACCGCCGCTGGAACTGTCCGACCACCCACAGCCCCAACATCTTTGGCAAAATTGTCAACCGAGGTGAGCATGGCTTCTCAGAGTGACATTATGAAAGCTTTGAACAACGCACACTATTCATATCTCATACAGTGAAACGGGGGAATATGGAATTACATATTCATATTTTCTGTATGGAGACACAGCATGATAGAGATTCTAAGTTGTGCTTATTGTTTTGTTAGGTTGCCGTGAGACTGCATTTGTGTTTGCCATCACAAGTGCTGGTGTTACTCACGCCGTGGCTCGGTCCTGCTCTGAAGGAACCATTGAGTCCTGCACCTGCGACTACCGGCGCCGGGGTCCTGGAGGGCCAGACTGGCACTGGGGAGGCTGCAGCGATAATGTGGAATTTGGCAGGATGTTTGGGCGAGAGTTCGTAGATTCCAGTGAGAGGGGCAGAGATCTGCGGTATCTGACCAACCTGCACAACAATGAGGCAGGGAGAATGGTAAGAGACAATCAAAAACCATTTGTCTCCTCCAAAAGCAGATGACATTAATAGATCTATCAATACACGGAGTGCCCCAAAGTACAGATGGAAAGCTGCTGAAATGACATTTTATCAGCCTAAAATGGTTATTTTTATAATTTAAATTAATTTAATGAATTATAACCAATGAAATACTAATGAACTCATTAGTTTAAAATTAATCTAACATGGCACATTTACAGATTTGTTTAATCCAAATATTAAATGGATAAGAAAAAAATAGACATTATTATTATATTATATTAGTTTAAATATACAAATAATCAACTAATAAATACATTTAGTTTATTTTAAAGTTAATGTAACATGACACATTTACAGATTGTTTTTTATCAAGGTCTAAAATGAGTAAGAAAAAAGACAATATATTATATTATAGTAGAAAATATTTTATGTTTAAATCTACAGTCAAAATAAATAAATACAATTAGTTTAAAATAAATGTAACAGCACATTTACAGATTGTTTTTTATCAAGATCTAAAATGAGTAAGAAAAAGACAATATATTATATTAGACAATATGTTGTTTAAATATACACGGTCACAATAATAAAATAATTTAATTAGTTTAAAATGAATGTAACATGGCACATTTACAGATTGTTTTTTATCAACGTCTAAAATGAGTAAGAAAAAAGACACAATATATTAATTATATTATGTTACGTTTTCCCCCCCTAAAAATATATAAATATAAACTTATATATAATATAAATTTATTGATTATAATTTAAATGTCATTAAAGGTCTATCAATACACTTTATGTGTGTGTGCATACATATATATATATATATATATATATATATATACACACATACATACAGTATAATAGTTCATCCATCATAGTATATTTGTGAAGAAGTTGATCCATCAACCATAGATCCAAAAAGTGTATTTGTTAAGAATTGAAATATTAGTGTATAAATTATTTTGCACAATATATATTAATTTTCATTCCTCTCCCTACAGACAGTCGCATCAGAGATGCAACAAGAGTGCAAGTGTCATGGGATGTCTGGGTCCTGCACTGTGCGAACATGCTGGATGAGACTGCCCAGCTTCCGTGTAGTGGGAGACTTCCTGAAGGACCGTTTCGATGGCGCGTCCCGAGTAGTGTACGCCAACAAAGGCAGCAACCGTGCGTCCCATCGAGCCGACCCCCGCCACCTGGAACCGGAGAACCCAGCACATAAGCTCCCTTCGGCCCGGGACCTCGTGTATTTTGAAAAGTCACCCAACTTCTGTTCCTACAATGGCAAAACAGGCACACATGGCACTTCGGGACGCACCTGCAACAGTTCATCGCCGTCGCTGGACGGGTGCGAGCTGCTGTGCTGTGGACGGGGATATAAGACTCGAATGGAGCAGGTCACAGAAAGATGCCACTGTACTTTCCACTGGTGTTGTCATGTGAGCTGCCTCAACTGCACCAGTACACAGACCGTCCATCAGTGTCTATGATCAACAAACTGACAAACTGGAGGCAAAGGTCCCAAACTGGGTATTGAAACTGTGGCCGCTGGGGTATCTGGAGGTTATATAGGAATGAATAAACATGGAGAAAAGAGATAAGATAGCACAGTTAAAAGGGACTAACAATCTGTTGGTTGAATAGGCACGTATATTCAATGTATTAACTACTGAGAAAAGTTCAAAAGTACATGTGCAGAACTCTTAGCTGATGGTAGTCCTTGAAAAACACGATATTTTGGAGATGTTACTGCAGCATAGGGCTTCAAATCAAACGAAATGGGTCGAGAACCACTATGCACTATGCACATGTAGACACAGTTTAAAATTCAGCATGCTGAAGCACTAGTCCTGAGGTTCTAGTTTGTCTTCCCTTCTTCCGATCTCCGTCTCTGGTGCTCTGGGGAACATGGAAGCTAAAAAGTAGTTACTGGACACAGTTTGACAGATGTTCCTGTGGTTAGCGAACCACAAGCATGCTCTCTCATAAACCAGCTCAAAACTCTAACAAGAGGGCGGTTCTTTAAAATATTTTAGCGTTTTGTTTTCTTTAGCTGCAGTCCTACTCGTCTCACATAAAACTGTGTGAAGTGCTTCTCAAGGGATGGGGCTTCCTTTTCCGATTACTATGTAGCGGAATCCCGAACTCGGCCCAACCTCTCGTGATTTCCCATTCGGACTTGCCACACTTCCCGTCATTGCTTTGATTCTCCTGACATTATTTTTAATACCATTTATTATTATGTGGTATACCATGTTATTGAACTGATGGAAAAGTATTGGGAAGAGAAAATTAAGATTGACCCGAGATTGACTCGTCGATTCGGCTCTGACAGAAGCAAGTTTACCATTACAGAAACTCTTTTGGGAGAGAAGAAGACTTCTGTCAGAAGTTGTCTACATCGATTACGCACAAGTTCATACTAGTTTTGAAAAAAGTGTGTAAAGATAATCCTGTAAATGCCCTGCTACCTAGTTTACAGTGGACAAACAGTTCACATTCATGTTTTTGAAAGAGCCACAATTATGGAAACTGTATTTTGTATGTCAGCTAACATAACCAAAATGTTGTAAATATTATAAATAGATATGATCTATATATTTATGCTGCAACTTGCAATGTGAGAAAATGATTTAATCTGAAAGTGGGGTGAATACACTCTCATTATTTACGGAGTAATTCCAGCCAGTTGTGTGCTAACTTATATGATGATAGGCCACATAGATCTCAGAGACATGATTACTTTGTCAAATTCCTGATTTGCTTGTCTCTTGACACTTGTGTTTTACATGCACTGAATACCATCTTTTAATATTGTGAATGAAAAGTATTTTGTTTTCTTTAGCTGCAGTCCTACTCGTCTCACATAAAACTGTGTGAAGTGCTTCTCAAGGGATGGGGCTTCCTTTTCCGATTACTATGTAGCGGAATCCCGAACTCGGCCCAACCTCTCGTGATTTCCCATTCGGACTTGCCACACTTCCCGTCATTGCTTTGATTCTCCTGACATTATTTTTAATACCATTTATTATTATGTGGTATACCATGTTATTGAACTGATGGAAAAGTATTGGGAAGAGAAAATTAAGATTGACCCGAGATTGACTCGTCGATTCGGCTCTGACAGAAGCAAGTTTACCATTACAGAAACTCTTTTGGGAGAGAAGAAGACTTCTGTCAGAAGTTGTCTACATCGATTACGCACAAGTTCATACTAGTTTTGAAAAAAGTGTGTAAAGATAATCCTGTAAATGCCCTGCTACCTAGTTTACAGTGGACAAACAGTTCACATTCATGTTTTTGAAAGAGCCACAATTATGGAAACTGTATTTTGTATGTCAGCTAACATAACCAAAATGTTGTAAATATTATAAATAGATATGATCTATATATTTATGCTGCAACTTGCAATGTGAGAAAATGATTTAATCTGAAAGTGGGGTGAATACACTCTCATTATTTACGGAGTAATTCCAGCCAGTTGTGTGCTAACTTATATGATGATAGGCCACATAGATCTCAGAGACATGATTACTTTGTCAAATTCCTGATTTGCTTGTCTCTTGACACTTGTGTTTTACATGCACTGAATACCATCTTTTAATATTGTGAATGAAAAGTATTTATTATTGTACGATGGCTTTTTTTAGAGAGGAAATGCTGATAAAAGGAAATATTTGAGCTCAGTTTAGAAGAGTTGTTTTCATATAGAGTAATAGCACAATAAACTTTATATTTTCATTATTTGTGTTTTCAGCGAACCACTCATTTCCTAACAGTGCTCACAGTTTGTGTTCAATAACAGGTTTGTCTTTCCATATGTTCCACAGCATATTCGCCTCAGCTTCATTTGTGATCCATCAATCATTTCTCTGAACCGCAAACTGGTATGACAGGGTATGTCTAAAGCACTTAACCTAAAATCAACAATGTGACTGTGCAAGTATATCCGTTCCTCTAAACATCATTCCCACCACTAAAAGCACAAGAGCAGCCCTCTTCTTCGAACAGTCATGCACCCTAAATCCACAGTAACCGCTGAGGGGAATTTGGGCAGTGGCGTAACAGCGTTAAATCTGTGTGTTTTCACGACACTAGAGGTTTTGCTTCACTTAATGTCAGAAACAAAATAAAGAAATGGTATTAGAAATAATGACAGGCTGCGTTGCCCCCACCCTGCTGGCGAGGCCGGTGCAACCTCAAGAGTTTGGATGAAGGCAGACGATTCTTTCTCTCACTCACCGCAACATATCGCAGGGCCACTGAAGGTGAGCAAGACGGAGCGCTGGACCGCTGTTGTCGTCACATCCGCATCCCAGAACTGAACTGTCAGCAGCCATTACTCCAGTCTACAGTGTCACATGATCCTTTAGAAATTATTTTAATATGCTGATTTGATGCTCTAGAAACATTTCTTCTTATTATCAATGTTAAAAATGGGTATGCTGCCTAACATTTTTGTGGAAACTACCATTCTAAGGTTTGGGGTTTAGGTGAAAAAAATTCTATAAAGACTCACCAAGGATGCACTGAATTGATCAAAAGTGACAGTTAAGACATATACTGTTACAAAAGATATCTACAGTTTTCTAATTCAAATCAATGCAGTTTTTTGTTTACTTGCTGTTCATCAAAAAAAGAAAAAGAAAAGACTTGAGCAGCAAATCTTAATGATATTAAGAACCATTATTAATTGAGCACCATTAATAACTGAAAATCAGCATATTAGAACAATTTCAGAAACATCATGTGACACTGAAGATTGGATCAGTGGCTCCGGCAAAATCTGCTTTTCCATCAAAGGAATAAATTATATTTTAAAATGCAATCTAATAAACAATGGTTATTTTAAATATCAATAATATATTACAATGTTACTGTTTCTACTGATTTTTTTTTGCATTTTTTGCATTTTTAAAAATTAAATAAATGCTGCCCTGTTGAGCATAAGAGATTTCTTTAAAAAACATCTTAATTATTCAAAACTTTTGACTAAGTACTTACACGGGGCAAAAACAATGCACATTTTACACACAAAAAAAAACTTTTACAACAAAATACCTTCGAAAACCATAGCTTTGTGGGCTGTGCTCCGACATATTGTGTATAATGCCTCCGATGACCCAAGTTTGAATCTGAGATCAATGTCCAATCACTATCCTATCACCTCCTGTCTCTTTTCCACTGTCCTAACCAATAAAATTCAACATGCCCAACAGATAACTTGAAATGCTTCCCTACATGAAAGTGAAATAATAATAAATAAAATAAAAATCAGTATCATAAACCAATCTTCGATCTTACAGGAATTTTCTGTATAGATGCATATGCATTACAAGGCAAAATAGTGCAAGAATGCAGAGCATTAATTAAAACGGGAAATATATAGTTAGAATAAGAAGAGAAGGATAGAAAAGAGGGATAAAGAAGCAAAGTCAGACTGCATTCCCAGGCACTGGTGGGTTGAGGGAGGAGGGTGGAGGGCTACTGTCATTGTGGGAGTGCTGAAGAGTCACTGATAATTAGCTCAATTAGTGACAAAGGCAGTGTAATAAATACCGACTTAGTGTCTGGGTCCCTGCTGTCCACTCTCTACACGGCCTGTGATGCAGCCAGGGACTGACGGACAATTCATTAAACCGACAAAATACCCCACCGTCCAGGCGTGACGCTGCGAGTTAGCCCCCTACAGGCCCGGCCCATTGTTCTAATTGTCTGGGTTGGAGTCGCTTTCTGGCCATCTCCTCCTCGCCCCCTCCTTCGTCCTCTTCTTTCAAAAAACCCAAGGAGTTAATGCCCCTACCTAACTCTGTAAGTAGGTGATCAGGTTGGGGGAAACAAAAAATGGAAAGGGTTACTCTGGAGGGAGGGGTACGGTGGGATTAGGGTCCGAGGGTTGCCCAGGAGTGTGAAGATCGGCCCCGATCGGAATGTCGTAAAGATGAGTCTAGAAGCTCGGTTGCAGGACAAAGCGAGAGTTAATTAGGAAAGATTGAAGGAGTTGGCGACAATGGGCCGCCACCCGAGTCGAGATGAAATTGCTTCCGCGGATTATTGGGGAGCGAGTGTGTGGGTTGCAGAGATGTGTGCACCGGGAGGGGTTCGAGCAGCCTTGGATTGATGGCTGCCCTCTCTGGTTAGGGAATAGGGGACAGGGGAGGCTGACCGGCTGTTCCCACAGTCTGTTCTGCAGCAGCCACCTTTGACACACGGGCCTGCCAGGCGGCAAGCAGCGAGGGAGGCTGGGAAAGGGAGGAATCTCGAAACCCAAGAGCTCTTAAAAGCATAAATTCATTTTGCTTTCCATGCCAATAAGGATCATGATGGCCGTATGCAAACGACAGAGTCAAAAAAAGCGCAAATTCAGAGTCGCTGATTGCGATAGATGCAAAACCACAAGCTGAAAACTCGTTAACACTGTACATCTCTATTTAGTAACGTGGTCGAGAGATTTTATGAATTGCCGTTTCCCTTAATTGGAGCGCTCTGCTCTTTTTCCAAAACGGAGCAATAAAGTTTTAATTCAATAAGTGCCCTTGAGGGTCTCTGAAGAGCTTCGAGAAACTTAACCTTCCAGTAGTGGTTTGAAGCTAATAGAATAATGGCTAAAAATTAAATCACTTGATAAAAATCCAAAACAAAACCTCACTGGGTTGGACCGAGTAAGAGCTTGGCCAAGCAATGTTGTTGCAGAGCGACTACTTTCCATCCAAGGAAAGAAAATAGTCTCTTTAAACTCATGGGAACTGTAGGCTACAGCAAACAGGTACAGGATATCTGGACCAAAAAAAACTGACAAGCAGCTTTCCCAAAAATTGTGGAAGATAGAATAATGGCAAAAAAATGAAATCACTTG